ATTAAATTTAGTCAGTATCTTAAATTTAACTAACTGATAAACGATTATATAATTGAATAATGATTATACTGATTTAACTAACTTGATTGATAATGGTAGTGTACCGTACATGTACAAAATCTGAAATGGATGTCCAAGGGTTTCTGTTTAACAATTTTTTTTTTTTATACACAGCAAACACGGCCCTGTGAAACTTGTATAAACATAAAGTAAATATAAAAATGTTGAAATAATATGTAATCGTGTTTACAAACAGAATTTTGTTGAATATGCCTGCCCTCTTCTATGCGTATAATAGTAGGAATTTGTTTTTTCCTTCTTAATTTTAGATTTCTGAGTGAAACGAGTATTGGTTTTACCATGGTATATTTGTTCTTGATGTCTACAGGATTTTGACCAGAAAGGTTGCTTCAATTATCAAAAGGAGGGTTGGTTTATAGTAGCAGTATTTATTTTTATTTTTTTTTTTGTTTTTGCATTCTGATAATTTTTAAATTTCTCAAAAGTTTTCTTAATATGTGGGAAAACGTGCGAAAATTTATAAATTTATAAAAAAAAAAAATGATCACTGAATATTGATATTAAAGTTCTTATGAGATTATGCATATAATTTTCAAAGAATGTTAACTTTTTTGCTCTATCAAAAGATATTTGAAATGTTCATGTTTCCTTAGCTTTTATTTTCATAAAACATCGATAAAATAACTTTAGTTCTTCAAATATTTAAAAACATTTAACACTAAGTTCCTTAATTAATTTTACTTAGGTATTGATATAAAACATAATTTGAATGTTGACAAAACTTGACCAATATCATGAACATTTGCAACATTTTTGCAGTTAAAAATGTATTTTATTTTCAAATGTTTATACTTAAGGTATGACAATTGAATATAAGGGTTTTCGCAAGTTTTTTTCTGTGGTCAATAAATAAAAAAAAAAATTACCGGGAAGTCGCAAAAAATGTTATGAACATCAACTGGAATGATAATGTCGACAAAATCACATATTTCAACATTCAACGAAATTTAAACCATATTCGGTATTTTGTTGTCTAGAAATATTAACTAGAGGGACTTGAAGTATAACAACTTGATATTTTACTATTATTAATTTTTTTGTAAATACGATCGATATAATTACAAACCTAAAAATTGAATAAATTAAAAGTACTTTTTTATAAACAAATATTTAGAAGGAAAAACGGGCACTCAGAACAAACAAATAGATTTCTGAGAAAATTATGAATACGGTAAACATTGGTTATTTCACCTAGTGTAACCTGGACAAATATACGGATGTAATCTTCCTGTAAAATATGGCCTCGGAACACAGATAATAATTTTACTACCGTTATTATAAAATTAATTCAATCAAATTTCAAAAGTTATGATTATAGGTGCAAATTTTTTCATACAAAAGTTGATTTAACACCTATATCTGATTACGAAATTATTAGGTTTTTTAAAACATGTTCGCGTAAACCGTATGCGAATATAATGGCAGATCCAACTACTCAACTACGTTCCCTCGTTCGGTCAAAACCGTTTTTCGAGAACAGTGATTTCAAATTTTTAAAAACGGTTCATCGAAATCGTTTTTCGGTTTCTATACCTAACCATACGTTCGTATCTCATCCACCCCCACCTCCTATTCCGTTCGATTACAACGTACATCACATGCATTGCGCGATACGTTCAACCAGCCCCTATTTTTCATAAAAATTCGTACTGCACATTTCTTAATGTACAATGATATAATACGGAGTTATCCTGTAACCCATTTCTGTTTGATTATAATTTTTAGTACAATTTCAATAATAATTTTTAGTAAATATTTTTTTTATTAGATAATCAAATTGCACTTTACAATTAGGTTTAATTACCAATCTGTTATTATTTTTTGAACTGATTATAATACTTATGTCCGGTATAAATCTGAAAACTATTAACAAATCATTTTTTTTAACCTGTTATATACAATATAAAATGTAATAGATGTATTTAAGTCCACAACAGCTGGTCTTGCTTAAACCGGCTTCCTGAATAACACCTTCACAGTATTTATTAATATTTGGTATGTACACACTTCTTGAATCCGCGGCGCACACTTCCGATTTCGGACTGCACACTTTGTGTAGGGGTTCACTAAAAAATAGGGATTGCAACGTTCACACACCTTCACCAGCGATCACTTGTCACCGTGCTATTCGTGTTGTCGCAGGCCATGCGTTTCCCAGTCGCCGAAACATTTAAGACCAAGGGCGAACCTAAGGGGAGGGGGATTCGGGTCCGGACTCCCCTTATTGAAATTTCTACATGCTCAACGGTTTAATAGTAAATATAATAATATTAATACACAGTGTATTTTAATTTCCCATTATCTTCAACACACAAAGTTTATAGATTATATAATATACCTTAAAATGTATAAAACATAATTAATAAGTATTTTTCCGGTGTTGAATTAAAGTATAATTATAATTAGGGAACAGATAAAATAAAAATGTTGGACCCCCCTCCCCATAAAAAAATTCCTGGACACGCCGCTGTGTAGGAGACCGTCTGAAAGCTTAACGACCGTTCAACGCTTATCGACAGCACCAAGCGTATAACGCGCATCCTACGACCGCCGACGGTATAATAAATGATACTTAATGAATTGGCCGCTCGGAAAACGATCGGCGATGGGCAAGGGTAGCAAGGCGCACACGCACCCGGCTAGCTCTCGAGCCATCTTTGCGACAGCAAACCGTACGGTTTGGAGACGATCACACGCGCGTCGCATAATTGCTATTGCTATTGCACGTCCCGAATCATTCCGAACGGTTGCCGGTCGCTATTGTGAAAATAAACGGATTAGAAAGTCGAACTCGTTCGCGAACCGCGTGAAATGTCATCCGCCTACCGGTAATAATAAACTCGGTCTACGCGCGTGTGTCGCAATAATAATAATTATTACATTTTTCGTTAATTTACGACGGTGCCCGAAACCCCCACACGGACACACACGATATATCGTAATGTATTCAACGGCGGCGAATCGGTACCGGTCGCGCGCGTTTCCCTTCGCCATCTCCGAAAGCAATACCTGCGCGTTCCGTACCGTCCTGGCATAACCCGTAGTCCGGTGACAATAATGAATATTTTTCGATCCGCACGTTTGAACAGCAACGTAATCCGAAACATTTCCGAAAAACCCAACGCGTTAGAGTAACATTTCCAGTGGTGTACATTCGATCTTGCTCTTGGGGGAGGGGGTTAACAAAAATAATCGTTATCTTTTTTTTTTTCGTTGCACAGACAAATAAGATAAATAACTGTTATAAACAGATAATTTTATTTTATACAATTTTTTTTACCAATTTACAGTTTACTTTTACATTACAATAAATTAATAGCTATTGGAATATAAAAACAGCGTAGTTAACAAAACTTTTCAAACACCCATCAATATAATTATTTAATTATCATAATATTTGTATAGTTGTATATTTTAAGTTCAAAGCGTGATAGTTAAACTACGAATATATTACACGTCATCAATGATAAAACAATTTTCTTTTTTTTTTTTTTGGCCTGGGGGGTTTGAATCCGGACCCCCCCCCCCCCCCCGTATGTACGCCACTGAATATTTCAACCGTCCGATTTAATCGAAATCGCCTAAATCACGTACGGCTATCACGAGTTGCGAACGCGTTTTTAGAAATCGGTATCCGTAGCGGAATTTCGACGACGGCTCAACCGATCGGAACCGTTTATCGAATCCTTAACCGAACCGAAGTCCAAGCCGTACGACGGACAACCGTGAAAAAAAATGAATAACAAAAATCGCGGTCGGCACGTAGTCGGTATGCATTCGCAGTATTTCCATATTCGCAGGACGAAGCGCGCGATCGGTAAACGTTTTTCACGATCCGAAACGTTGTGCGTTGCGCGCCGCGTGCGCGTAACGCGAGACGTAATTGCCCTGTTTGCGTCCTGCGAACGGGTTACGATCGTTCAGTCGAACGCGCGGCCCAAGGACGACACAACGGGCGCGCAACACGTTCGCCTACGTAACGCGGCGGACAACATTTTCTTCGACCGATTCGCGTGCGATGAGCACATCGAAATGTTAAGCAACACGAGACGGTGGCGCAAAACGTACCGATTTCGGGTCGACCGTTCGCTGGCCGGACGGCGGATTGCGAAAAATGATTACCATAAAATCTGGGGTACGAGGATAACGAGTAAACCGGGGGTGGGAGAGGAGAAAGAGTCGGCGGTGCGGTCGAGTCGGTAGCACGCGCTTCACGCGACGGCCGCACACGGTCCGCTGTGACGTCATCGCGCGCCGCCGTCGTCGTCGTCGTCGTCATCGCCGCTACCTATAGCCCGCCGACCGCAGCGCTCGACGCTCTCCGCTCCCACTCCTCGCCGTCGAAGCCTTCGTCCAGTGCGTTGTCGTCTCGGTTATTTGTTATTATTACTTCGTTCTCGCGCCCGCCCGTGCCGTCCGACGCATTTACCGTCCTCTCGATGCCGTCCGATTCGCTTACCGTTCCGCGGAACCGCTCCACGAAGCAGCTGACCGTCTAATAAACGATGTGAATCGACGCGACTGTACGCGCGTTTCGCCGTCGACTCGAACCCGCCGCCTCGGCCCTTTCGCCACCGACCCCGAACACACTCCCGCCCTAACCTTGCGGCACGCGCACACGCGCCGTAGTAGGCGCGTACTCCTCGGAGTACCATGTCGAATTTCTACAACAAAATGAGTTCGGTCTACGCCAAACCGATGAACAAACGCATGACTCTGCAAGAGTTCTCTCAAGCCAACCAATGGATTAACGGTGAGAACGGTAATGCTCGTAATCGACATCATACTATTACTGTACTGTAGTAACTGCGTAAGAGTCACTAAATCCCCGCTGTTTCTGGTCTCTATGCTCGGCCGGACCGATAACAACGTTTGGCTACGTATGTCGAAACCATTACATCGTACGTTCCGTGTTACAGATACGCTGAGCATCAACTCGTATGGAATGCCTCAGTCTGGTTCCACCGTGTCCCAGAGAGAGAGTTCCAGTTTTTTGCCTGTCACCCAGCCGGCCAGTGCACCAGCATCGCCGGTCGGTTCTCCTGTTGCACAACTTCTGTCCACTCCTTCGAACATTACTTTAGATCCCAACTGGCAGGCGATTAAGTCTACGGTGCGTGAACGTAATGCTGCCATGTTCAATAACGACCTTATGGCTGATATATATTTCATTGTTGGCAGTCCTGGTAAGTGTGCTACAGATAATTAGAACCCTATTGTGAAGACTTAAACGTTATATGCTGACAATCTAAATTGTGATGTATTATTTTATATAGTGTTCACGAATTATTGTAGAATCAATCTTATCAGTAATCAGGCCTTGCCCGTTTAATATCAAATAAATATGCATTTTAATATTTATTTTTTTCAAACCAATAATTTATTTTTCTTTAAAGTCATAATATTCATATTCAAAATAATTCCACTGTCTGTAATTGTTTATTTATTTAGTAGTTACAAATTATTATTTTATTTCATAATTTTACTTTTGACTAGATAGTAATACTTATTTGTTTTATAGTATTTAGATATAGAGTAGTTGATATTTGACAATTGATTCAACTGGTTATGAACTGTTAAGAAAATATTGACGTCAACTGTTTATTTCCATATTACTTAAATATATTTTTACTATTTCAGGGCATATCCAACGTATACCATCGCATAAGTACATTTTAGCTACAGGAAGTTCTGTATTTTATGCAATGTTCTATGGAGGACTAGCGGACACTAAAGAAGAAATTGAAGTACCAGATGTTGAACCAACAGCTTTCCTTACACTATTAAGGTTTGTTTAATTTTTGTTTTGTGCAGTGTTTTATAATAAACTATTTTGTTTGATTTAATGATTTAGGTATTTGTATTGCGATGAAATTCAATTGGAAGCAGACACTGTGTTGGCCACACTATATGTAGCTAAAAAATATATTGTGCCACATTTAGCCAGAGCTTGTGTCAATTATTTGGAGACTAGTTTAACTGCAAAAAATGCATGTTTGCTTCTCAGCCAGTCAAGGCTATTTGAAGAGCCAGAATTGATGCAAAGATGTTGGGAAGTGATTGATGCACAGGTAATGTCACAGACTATAACTGAAAAATAATTTGTCAATATTATAAACATTTCTTTGTTTAAACAGGCCGAGATTGCATTGCATTCAGATGGATTTGTTGATATTGATTCTGACACGTTACAGAGTGTGTTAGGACGTGAAACGATTAACTGTAAAGAAACTATATTATGGGAAGCAGCAATGAACTGGGCATCAGCTGAATGTAATAGGCGTGAAATTGAACCAACTCCATCTAATAAACGACAAGTATTAGATTCCGCTTTGTATTTACTCAGATTACCAGCAATGTCTTTAGAAGAATTTGCTAATGGGCCTGCTCAAATGGGTATGCTGACATTAGAAGAAACTGTTGATTTATTTCTCCACTATACTGCATCCAACAAACCCCGATTGACTTATCCAACTAAACCACGTGTTGGTCTTAAACCTCAAACATGCCATCGGTTCCAATCATGTGCTTATCGCAGCAATCAATGGAGGTATCGAGGTCGCTGTGATAGTATTCAGTTTAGTGTTGATCGTCGTGTGTTTATTGTTGGTTTTGGTTTGTACGGTTCATCAACAGGGGCAGCTGATTACAATGTAAAAATTGAACTCAAACGTTTGGGTCGTATTTTGGCTGAAAACAACACAAAATTTTTTTCGGATGGGTCAAGTAACACTTTTCATGTGTATTTTGCACATCCTGTACAAGTAGATCCCGAATTATTCTACACTGCTTCAGCTATATTAGATGGCGCAGAGTTAAGTTATTTTGGTCAAGAAGGGCTAAGTGAAATAAATGCAGGTTGTGTCACGTTTCAATTCCAATGTTCATCTGAAAGTACTAATGGTACTGGAGTTCAGGGAGGACAGATTCCAGAACTTATATTTTACGGTCCAACCAGTGAGGATCAATAATATTCCTGGTTATCGTTTTCAATCCGAATTAAAACCAAGTATTAAACAAAGGAAATAACAATTAAATTTAAACCTGAATTGTTCAAAACAATGTTTACTCTAATAGTATTTTGGATCTCTAATGTAAACACTAAATCACACGATATTCTATAATATTAAAATCTTAAGTTCTTAATTGTACATTTTTGCTAACTAAATAACGGATGTTATATTTCTCTGTTATTTTTTTTTCTTTGTTACTAGATATTAATTGATATTATTTATTTGTATGAATTACTTGCAATAAATTAACCAACACGCAAATACACTTGACTTATTAGACAGTATAATTTTAAGTTCATATTGTTATTGGAAATTAGGGGTTAGACATTTAAGTATCTTCTAAATTAGTTACCTATTCTTTTAATTTATTTCAAACTGAAAATTTCTCACACCATTGAACAAATATGTTGTAAGATAAATTATTATTTATTTTCCCATTGTCTTAAGCAGTAGAAATATTTTGTTTGTTGAATATAACTATAAAAAAGGCAACAAAAAATATTTACCAAAGGACCATTTCATAAATTTTAATATACAAATAATAATTATATAATGCCTTCTCTTGTATTATTTTATTTAAATCTCAAATACGCTCAATTGTGCATATATTAGTATGACTATTAAATACTAAATTTTAGATGCATAGTACATATGTATTGTGTATAAATATATATATTTTGTTCGTAAAGTTTTAACTTTAATCACTTAGTTGGTATTTTGATTACACATTTAGATTATATATGTTTTCTTTATACATTATTTTGGGAGTAAACTCTACTTAGTAATTTAGAAATATATTTTAATACATTATTACTTAAAAGTTAATACTAGGTTACCATTAACTATGGACTGTATTTTGAGCTTTAGAAATGATATGAAAATAGTTTTATGATTGTTTAATTTTAAAATGTAAGTGACTAATGTGTTTAAGATATTTGTTATTCTTATAATGACTTTTTTATGCTATACCTATACATTTCAAGACATTTGTATTTTCTCAATTTGTTCTAGTTTTTTTCACAGAAACCAATTTCATTTAAGAGAAAATTTTTATTTCTTCTTTTCTAATTAAGATCAAATATAATATATTTTTTTTTCTTTACACCAACTAGTCATGACGACAAATAATTGGTTTTTGTGAAAATCAAATTTTTAGGGATTTCTAGTTACTTATAGAAAACATATTTTATTTGGTAGACTGTGATAGGGGACTATTTTTGTTTGCGTAATTCTTATTTTTAAATAAAATAATTTTTGTAAACATATTATGTTTGTTATTGTGTTTTTTGTTTGTTTTGGTAAATTGTAGTCAATCAAGGCAACAACAAGAAATGTCCAAAAAATATATAAAGACAAATTTTTTCTTGAGAAGCTAGATATTTAAAAATCATAAAACCAATGTTATATAAAAATAATATTTTAAATATCTAGGTCAAAGGTTCTCAAGCTTTTGAGGTGCGTGTCTTCTTTTATACTATTTTATAATTTTATTCCCCCTACCTCACTGTAATAAGAACGAATCATGTTTAATAAATATTAATTTATATATTTTAATGTACGCACCGTTTCTTTAATGTTGGTTATTTAATTGATATGAAAATAAATTAAGTTTTTTTAAACATTTAATGAATTTATTTGTTAGGAAAACAATATTATAAATAATTTAAAATTAATAAAATAAATTACATTATGTACATTTTCTTAAAAATTAAATTTTAAATTTATTATAATTAAGTAGTAACAAATTAATGAAAAGGTTAGAACTACTTAGTTCCAATAAATTGTGATTTACTAAAATATCGAAATACCTGATCAAAAGTAATGTTTTCATGTTTTGTTGCTTTTTAAGAATGTTCACGCATCCCCTAAAATGTTATCAAATCTATCTAGGGAAGTGCGCTCTCCAGGTTGACAACCATTGATCTAGATAAAGATAATAGATAATTGGTAGAATAATTATGTAGATGGAGATAAAAGATATATAATAATTCAGTGATCTAGATATAGATCAAAATCAGAATTCATTACTATAGATTTACTATACATAAAAATAAAAAAATAAACCATAACAATTTTAGTAGATATCAATGACAAAACTGAATCATTTTTATTTTATAATTTGTAACACCAGCGGATAGGCCTTCTAGCTGGGTCCAGGGACGGCACGAGGGGGTGGGCAATAGGGGCAGTTGCCCGGGGCCCTGCGTCTTAAATTATAATTAAGGCCCCGCAGTTCTGATTTAACTGAACTTAAAATATTTTATTAATATAAATTATAAGACCCAACATTTATTTTGCCCAGGGCTTCACAATCTCTACCGTCACTGACCGGGTCTACCTAGTTTTCAAATAATTATTATTAATATTATTTACTTTTTAATATCTTTCATTATTAACAAGTCAGACAGGAGAAATTGTGCAATATGATATTAAATTATAATTTTTTCCAACTAAATTCAAAAGTATTATGAAAAGTTTACAAAAAAGAAATAATGTGTACCTACCTATATAATAATTATAACTGAGCCTGTCCTTTATTTTGATCATTTTGATAATACATCAAAATTTCAAAACAGTTGTGATCTTTATAGCTTTAAAAATCGAATGTTATTTTTAAAAAATATTTTAAACATAAATTATGATTAACACACCATAAAATTTTGTATCAAAAACATATTATTAATTTATTTTTGTCAGTTTTTTATTAACATTAATGTTTTATATATTATTAAAAATTAAAATATATTGAAAAAATCAAATAAAACTTATCTTTTTTAATATTAATAACATTTATGAGAATGTGTACATTAATTGTAATGAAGTTTAATTAACGTCTGTAGTATGTTTCGTTAGAAGTGATATTAGGAGTAGGTACATTTTTTGATAAAAGATAGATATAGCTTCAAGTTTATCAGTTTTCATCGACTTTTTCCTGTAACTTCTTTTCACTAAGTAAAATTGCTTAGCTCAGTACTGTAATAAGTCCACAAAGGTACTTACTCTGGTTATTTAAGGTCCCTGGACTATTGATCTCTACCGATACGTTTCTTGTGTTCATCAGAAATATTTTCGAAACAACAATACCGTTTAACTCTTTTCTTAGAAGTCTGTTGCTTACTACTAATATCATCACTAGAATCACTGAACTCCCTGTCCATTGTATTGTACCGAATAATTAATAAAGATATATTTTACTAAAATATTATCACTAGAGCTTGGATTTCAATGCATTTGCATCTTTTTTTTGGGATGTCTTACGCGATGCTTTCCAAGCTACAAATTTGTTTCAGGTACTCCGTGTTCTACCCACAAACATTTTTTGCATATTCCCCCCCCCCCTTCCATGGGCCGTGTTTATATGTATAATGTACCTATGTACTAAACTACTATACTACTATTTTTATTCAAGTATTTTAAATCTTTGGTATTAACTAAATTTTGACGATTAACGAATAACAGGTGTTTGTCTTTGACGTAGATATTACAAATTATTAATACTTCTAGTTTCTACCATGATTATTACTATTTTTTTTATGGTTATCATGCAAGGTTGTGGCGAGTCACTATTAAATATTTAATGATGTTTTCAACGTGGAAAAAAATGTTAATATTGAAATAAAAATGCCACGAGTATGTAAAAGGTAAACTCAGAGAGAAAACTTTATTTCTGAAAATCCAGAAATATATTTTAAATGTTCTACTTTTATTCCTTTTCTTGGCTATTTAAGAGAGTCAATGCATGCTGTTTTAATCAAAAGCTTATTGATGTTATGACACTTGAAGGACTTATTCCGGCCAATTTAAATATGTATGATGATGAAAATATTATAAAAACTGCTAAAATATATGTCCAAGATCTCCATGATGATACCTCATCTACAATCAGAGCTGAGCTGTTCATACGGAGGCAACAATGGAGTCAAAATACTATTCCAAAACCAAATTCTGCTGTTGATTCACTCTCTCATTGCATCAATCTTCAATCTAACATTAAAATACTTTTACAATTATTCGCCACGTTACCAGTTACGTCTTCCATTCCGGAAAGAACGTTTTCTGCACTTAATCACTTAAAAAATTATTTAAGAAGCACCATGTCGGAAAACAGATTAGATGGGTTAGCTATGGCTAATATAAATAAAAGAGAAATTCAATGAAAGTGAAATAATAAATTAATTTGCCAAAAATTCGCCTAAGAGGATGCAGCTGTCAGAGTGGAGCAAATGACTGGCCACTGAAACCAAAATTATTATTATTATTATTATTATTATTATAAATTATATATTAATAATTATTTTTAAAACTATACTAAAATGCTTGAATTGCATTTAAAAACTTGGTGGTAGATGGTGGGGGGGTTAAGGGTGAATTCTCATATCCTCTCTTACATTACTTATCCAAAAAAGTGATTATCCCCTCCCATTTAAAAATCCTGGCTACACCACTGTTGAGAGGTCATTTTCAGTATATAAAAACTTATTCGCAGACAACCGTCGATCATTCAAATTCTAAAACTTAAAAGAAATACTAATTATATAGTGCAATTCAAATATGTAATTTAATTTTTAATTCAATTTTTTATTTTAATTTTTTTATTTTTTGTAGTGCAATGTAAATAAAATTTCATTTTTTACTCATTTTTTAATAATAATTTGAATTTATTTAATAAATGATGCATTTTTTGATATTTTTCGGGCACTTAAATCCGAGCCCTTATTATAACATACATTTTTTTATTATAAATATTTGAGAATTAAACATTATAATTTGCTACATATACCTGTCTTAAACAATTAAAATTATTAATATAAATCTAATACTATATTATTATTGTAGTAGTTGTAATATATTATAATATAATTCAGATTCGTGTCGAAAGGGGGATTCAATCCCCTTCCCAGTTAATAAAATTTAAATTAAATTGTATTAACTTCCTCCGAGGTTATCTGTATATATAAAATAACTTATCCTGACTGACTGATTCATTGATCATCGCCAAGCCAGAACTGCTGAATATGAGTATGAAAGTTGGTCAGTAGTTTCGTTTTATGATGCAGAAAACCTTTAAAAAAATATTTCTAAGTATTTCTATTCCTAGGCAATTACAAAATATAAAAGGGTTGAAAATGAAAAAAAAAACACCTAGCCGGAACCGCTAAATTTATTCGTTTGAAACTCTTTTAATAACATTTCATTTTAAAATAAATTAAAAAATACATTTTTAATAGAACAAGATGAACTAATAAATAATAATACATAAAACGATTCAAAAGCATTTTTTCAACTATAAATATATTAATTATTTTTATTATCTTCGTGTAAGAATATGTTCGGATTTCTTCACGATATTTTCGGACTAAGAGTCGAATCACTCAATGCGTTTTGTTAGTTGCTGAAATGCGTCGATAATGTTGGCATTTTCTTTCAAATAATTTAAATTATATC